CTATTTTTACTGGGATACAAGTATCCTAGCCAAATTTCAGAAAGTTTGAAAATGATAAAAAATAACCTTCTTATGAAAAACCATCCATAAAAAAATTCATATTTAAAAAATAACGCTAACTGTCGATATTTCCATTGAAAATTTAATTTATAGAAGTTTTTAAATTTAGATTATAATGAAAAAAATAATGGAAAAAGCTGACTGATTTGATTCAAATTGAAAGTTTCAAAAAGCTTTTTTTCTTTTTTTTGGAGGTTGTCAAGTTTTTTCTCTATACTTTCAAAAAATTTCAATTTTTCTTTGACCAAAATCTACACGAAATGCGATTTGATCTCATTTTGACTCAAATTTAAAGTTCATCCGCACTTTTTCCTGCAATCCGTATGATTATATTGATTGATAAGGCTTCCAACTTGATTGATGACCAGGAAAATTGATTGATAGCTTGGTTTTTTTTCTGGTCTGAGAAAGAGGAAGGGAATTTTCCAAGTTTCAAGTGCTGAAAAAAATTGACACTAGGCCAAGAAAAATAAAGCAAAAATCAGATTTTTTTTTTTGGATTATGCTCTAAACTTCCATAGGGGCCACTTGAAGTTCAGAGTTCTAAAATCAATATTTCTACAAAAAGTTTTACATTTCAGGATTCTTATGAACGCCAGAGTGGTCACTAGAGGGGCTCTTGTAGGTTCCCCTCAAGGGATCACTTTACTCCAATTTGAAGGGGCACTGAAGTTTGCAAAAGTGGCCACTTCAGGGGGCATTGAAGTGACTCCTGGAAGAGCAGAAAAAAAATTAAAGGACCACTATAGGGACCACTTGAACTTCAGGTGCTTCGACCCGAAGCTCCTATGAGGGCCTCTTGAATTTTAACCCTCTAGGGACCACTTTTTTGCCCACTCAAGGGGTTTTTGCACTCCGAACCCTTTAGTGACCACTCTGGCATCACTCAAAAAAAAAATTCCAAGTTTCCATCCACTTTTACTATTAAAATTTGAAGAAAGCGACCAACCTATAGGGGTCACTAAAGCTTGCAAAAGTGGCCACTCTAGGGGGACATTCTAGTGGTCCCTAGAGCATATTTTTAACATGCAAATCAAAAGGAAAATTATAAGACCGCTATAGGGACCACTTGAGCTTTAAAGACCCAGTGATCAGACCCTCAAATCCTAAAGAGACCACTTGAATTTTAACCAACCTTAGCGAGCACTTTTTTGTCCACTCTAGGGTCAGTTTTTTTCCCCTAAACCCTCTAGGGACCTCTTTTTCAAAAAAAAAAACTGAAACCTTTTTAATTTTTCACTCTTCCATCCATCTTCACATTGGAATCCATAAAAAAAAATTAAAATATCACTGTAGGGACCACTTGAGCTTTAAATTATCCGGGGTCAGGCCCTCAAATCCTATAGGGACCACTTGAAAGTTAGCCCTCTAGGGAACCCTTCTTGACCTCTAGTGACCACTCGGACGTCCCTGTTTCTCACTAAAAATAAAAAAAAGTGCTCCGGAAATCTCCTCGGAAGAAAAATACGACACGGACAATTAAGTGCAAAAGGCGAGGGAATTCGTATATAAAAATAGGATTTTTGAATGCGAGAAAATTTTTGGCGACAAAAGGAAAAAAAGATGGAAGCCGTTCTGAAAAATGACAAATTTGACAGAAATTGAGGCCTGCCATTTCAGATTTTTCAGGGGACATTTTTCAAAAAAAGCTTTTTATTGATTTTTTTAAAGGCTGTTTGTCAAAAATAAATTTAAAAAAATTATTTTTTCCAACGATTTTTTTTTAGAAATTTTGAACTGATCATCTTGAACAATTTTTCAGAATTTATGGAAAATTCGAAAAAAATAAATGTTGACTCCTGAAAAAAACTCCACCAAAATCAATTTTCAGGCATTTTCTTATACTTATTCGTTTTATTTTTTTGAAAAAAATCCCATTTAAAATTTCCAGAAAAAAAGGAAAAAAATCCAGCAAATTTTGAGCGTTTTTTTGAAGGTTTTTCCTATCAAATTCTCATTTAAAAAAAGCTCCTGTCTTTTTTTCAATGAAAAAATTCATTTTTCGTTTTTTTCAATGAATTTCTATTTCTCACTGTTGAAAAATGAGAAATTTCACCTCTGAAACTTGAAAAAAATACCTGAAAAAAAGGTTCTATCCAAAAATTTACCTATAAATCTTCCCACTCAAAAAAAAAGCAACTCTTATATTTATTTACTGCTTCAAATAAACTTGATATATGAAAAATTCATGATCGCCTCGATACAAAGAAAAGGTGCATGTAGAAGAAGCCGAAAAAATGTCTAAAAGGTTCGTCAGAGCGCATTTCTATCGAAAATGACGGCCGTCGTGAGGATTTCAAGGGTTCTCGAAACGGTGAGCTCATTTCAAATGATTTCTGAGCCGCAGGAGGAAGTTTCGAAATAATTCCGGGCTTTTTTTTGACGAGGAGATTTGAAAAATGGAGATAATATTCCAGGAGAAAATTCTAGTTTTACCCGAAATTTGATTAATAGCTAAGATCTATTCTGAAAATGAATTTCAAACGAATTTTGAAGGAACTGAACAAGAAAAATTCAAAAATCGAAACAAAAAATTTCAAAATACAGAAAGGTGTTCACAGAAAATATGAAATCGGGCAAAATTCTTCAGAATACTGAACGAACATAGAAGAAATATATAATATCAACAAAAAGTCGAATTTTGCGGCGAAAAGCTTCTAAAGAGTGGTTATAAGCCATAAAAGGGATTTTTTTGGAAATTGAATTTTTATCAATGTTTTTTTCGGGACTGATTATAAAAATAAATGATGATATGTAGTTGGAAGAATTTCATAAAGCTTGCTACCTTGTAAATTATTTGGAATTTAATAGAGCAATGATTTTTTTAAAAACAAAATCGAGAAACAGTGAAAAATCGGATGGAAAAATTTGAAAGATTTCTTCAGAAAAAGGTCAGAAAAAAAGAAAAAAATTCTATAGGTTGTCAATGAAAATTCTGTGAAAAAAATACTGAAAAATTATTTTTTTCTTATTAACTAAACCCACATAATTCTATCCTTGATTATAATTTGATTTTTTTCGACGCGAAATTTTTTTCAAAAAAAGGAGTTCATAAATTTGAAATAACAATATGAACGTATTTTTTTCACGACTGTAGAGAGGGATTGTCTATTGAACGAATAACGAATTTTTCAATTATATAATATTTCTGAAACGGCAACCTGATGAAGTTTGATGATTTTAACTAAATCCTTTGAGAAAAAAATTCGAAAAAAAGTTAATTCTGATAGGGCGGGAAGAAATGCGAAAAACCAAACCAATTACTTCCATTGAACAGTTTTCTTCCGAACATCAGGAAAAACGAAAATTTTCTGTCAAACAGAAATAAATCATAGTTCTCTTTTCCTATCACAAAAGAAGTTTTTTTCGGAATTTTCGACAGTTTTTCTTATTTTTTTAACACTTTTTCAGAGGTTTTTCTCTCCTTTTCCTCAAAATAAAAATTTGGAGCGGAAAAAAATCTTGAAAATTGTGAATTCAAATTAAAAATCAGAAAAAAATTTGAAGAATGGGACAAAATATTTTTTTCTCAACTTATTTAAAAATGAGCCTGAATTTTTTTCAAAACTGTTTTTCAGTATTTCAAGAGAATTAGAAAGAAATAAACGTTAGAATTCGTATTTGAGAAAAAAATTTGAAACTGGGAAGTTCGGATAACTCATGAAAAATTCAAAAAAATCCAAAAATCAAATCAATGACTGCCGTTGAACAACTTTCTTCAGGAAGAAATTTGTCAAACAAATTTTTTTCCATGGGCTAAATTTATGTCTCGAGATTATTTGAAAAATGAATCCAAGAAAAAAAAACTAGTTGTGAATACGTTTCAAGAAAGTGTTATATTGAATCATTTCTGTTAATTTCAATTATTTTTTGATGGAGTTGGGAAAAAATCTGGACTGTATAGTATCTTAAGAATGATTTTTCGAGGTCTTTCCGCATTTTATTAATTATAAAAAAAGCAAGTTTGAGCTAGTCTTGAGTTTTCGAGAACATAAAAAAAGGGCAAAAAAACGTGAAAAATTGATGCAAATCAATGCAACTTTTGACCATGGAAAAATTTCGGAATGGATTATTTTTATTTTAGAAAACTTTCAAGTTTTTTTCTGTATGATTATTCCCCAATCAAGCCGAAAAAAATGATTAAAAACCAAAAAAAGTATTTATAGGATCTTAGAAACAGGATTCATGTGTTCCTGTTATGTTATAAGAAAAAAACTGAATTTTTAATCGCAAGGAATCGAAAAAGTCTATTTAGTTATATTTAGCCACAGGGCGCAGATTCTCATTGGCTATTTTTGTATTTTACTTTTTAACTCTATAAAAATAATAATTTAATTTCAACAAACCCCCAAAAAAATAGCGAAATCCGTACGTCGAACCATCTTCATTTCCAAAAGTCGCCGAGTTTTTCGTCTCGTGGAATTTTTTTCTTTCTCTTTTTATCTTTCCCCAATATCAGCAATGAGTACTTCACAGGTCTTTTTTTCATTTTTCGCATTTATTTTTGAAATTATTCAGAAATCAAACGTAGCCAAGTCGGTGAAGGGGCGATGAGAGCGGTGAGGAAAAATTTGACGAAAAAATTGAATTATTCGGCCAGATTTTATGAACAAAGACTGAAACAGGAAAAAAATGATAAAAATTTTTCAAAACGAATTTTAAAAAATTCGGACATTTATTTATGAAAAAACATGATTTAAGTGAATTTTTTTCTGATAATTTTGAATTTTATATACATTTAGTCGAAAACGGTTAATTATCAAAAATGGAATTTTTTTGAATTTTCAAAATTAGAGTTTTTTTATCGCCAAAAAAATAGGTATAATACCCATTCGCAATGGAGCAAATTTGCTCTATTTTAATATATTTTGAAGATTTGGAAACTCCGAAGCCGACGGTGGCGGCAATGATTGAGGAAGTCGGCACTTTATACGGATGTAATGAACTTCGGGAAAAATATTAATGATGTTGGTTTTTAAAAAATAATTTTTTTCAAATCAATCCAGATTATTTCGGTTAAGCTTTATTAGTTAGTAAATTTTGGTTTCACAAATTTTTCTGACCAAAAATACCGTATTTTTTTAAATTGCAGGTCTCGAAGCGAAGCGCTCAAAAAAAGAGCTGTATACTGTAGTTTTTCCTAAATTTCATCCATAAGGGAAAAACTTTTTTTCAATCTTTTTCACTTAATTATGAAAAATTTTTCCGTTCATTCAACGGTCGATCTGATTTTTATTAATTCAGGCTCAAAAAAATATCGATTTTGAATTCTTTTGAAATATTAATAATATAAAAAAATACAGATTTTAAAAATATTCCAACCAAAAAAATAAAAATTTTTCAGACCGAAGTATGCATCAAGCCGGCCATCAAACTAATGAGACACGTTGGTTTTTTGAAAAATTTAATTTTTGAGCCCCAACTCGGAAAAAGTTTAAAGGCGCAGGGCGCGCGTCAAAAAATGGTCTCGTTCAAAAAAAGTGATTTTCATGCGCCTTCAATAAGCCTTAGTACACTATAAATTCTATAAATTGTTTTTTTTTTGTTCGGTCGCATTCGGAATGGCTAAAAGCGTTGCGGTCGGGTCAAAAAGTCGCCTTCGAAAAGTTTCTGACAAAGAAAAATTGGCGGAAGCCGCTTTTCGGTCGGGTGCACTATTTCGAGCCATTCCCAATGCGACCAAAAAAGAGAAATTCCAGATGCAACGTCGATCGAGCCGAAAGCTGAGCGTGGAAATCGACAAACTCGTCGAACAATTGAAAATGCTGTCCGAGGTTCTCAACACGATGGTTCGGGGATTACGGTACCTTTTCTCTTGTGGTGACGTCATTTTCCAGAAAGATCGGATGGAGCTGCCGGACATTGGATCCTTGTCGGGGACGTCGATTACGCCGGTCCTCGAGTCCGAAAGTTGGTAAATCGTCAGAGAGTGGAAAAGACAACTGATTTTTGGAGACGCAGAGATAATGGCCGAAAGTCGGCCTTAAATCACTCTGCCGTAACAAAACCCTTTTCATGGAAAATTTTGGGGCAAATTTTTTGTTCCATTCATCCGTAAAATCATAAAAAAAAAACTAAAACTATTGATTTTTTGAAAAATTAAGGTTTGAACTTTTAAGTGGTCACTTGAGGGGGCTTGTTCTGGGTATGTCAGTTAAAAATATCGGCAAAAAAATTGAATTTTTTTAAATTTTTGAAAAATATCATTTCTGCTTAAAAATCTACCTTTTTGATCCCAAAAATTGAGTGGAATCTTGCTTTCTAACATCTAAAAAAAGGTACTAAAATTGAAAAAAAGGCTCAGGCACCACATCGGGAGCCTCAAAATCGTCTTCCAACAAGAAGCTTTGATCGCCATTTTTTTCGCGAATCGTCCATTTTCTTTTCTCTCAAAAATTCATAAAAAGTTACATTGAGTTTACTTTGTTCATATTTCATACAAAAAGAATGATACAATCGTTGTCAAATGAGCACGGAAACTGTCACATGAGAAGGTGAGAAAGGAAACGGAAAAAGGCGAAGTTTAAGGCAAGAAAAACGACACGAAATGTACAAAATTCGAGAAAAAAACTGACAATTGGAAAAAAAAGACAATTTTTTTTGGTTCTCGATCCTCTCACTTCCCATCCGTCTGCGGGAAATTTGACCACGAGAATTGCCTAGAAAATTGGAAATATAGTCCATTCGTCGCGACTTTTCGACTGTCTGCGTCTCTCTGTTCCCTCACCGGCGAGGTTAGAGAAACGTGAAAATAGCACGTCAATGTGATAGGGCGCAGAGAAGTTCAAGACACGAAAAATGGACCATATAAATAAAAAAAGGCCTAAAAAAAGACAGTTAGATATCGGATTCAACTGAGGAACGGGTACGTGAAAAATCGTGAGAAATCGCGCTCCATTGATAAATTATTTCAAAGTGGCTATTTAAGCAAAAATTGGAGTAAATTCCTCCCAAATTATGATAGAAAATGACTTTTTGGGCGATTTAGCCGTGGAGCAACATTGCTCAATTTTTGAATTTTTTGGATCTCTCGCGGCTGTTTTTTCTCAGACATGCTTTCAGAGCCTATAATCTTTGATTACAAGGGAGCAAAATTCTATAACCTTTTTTTTTCCAAATTTTCTCCATGGAGCAACTTTGCCCTCCTCAGCGAAAAATTCAGGAATTTTAATTTTTCGACAAGAAAAAATCAAAAAATATCGTTTTTCTCCATGGAGCAACTTTGCCCTCCTCAGGAAAAAATTCAAAAATTCAGGAATTTTCATTTTTCGACAAGAAAAAATCGAAAAATCCCGTTGTTCTCGATGGAGCGCGAATTCTCAGCGGCCATTCCTTCACGCACCCAACTGAAATATTCTAAAATAGGAAAGGAAAAAAAGAACAGCAGTTAAGGAAGTAGCGTTACACGACATGAATCAACCCTGAATCAGTGAAAAACAGTAAGGTTCTTTAAGAATCTTGATGGGGGAACGGAGAAGAAGGCAACAAACGTTGGATTGGCAATGGAGCGCAGATTGGAGCACACGAATTGGGAATTCAAGTGAAACAGGGAAAAGCCACGAAAGAAAAAAATAATAATAAACCGTGTCAGGGCGATTGATATATATTCAGATACACACAAAAAAAGGCAAAAAAATAGTATGAATTAATTTTTGTTGAATCAATTGATAATCAGTGATAATCAGGGGTGAGTTGTCGAGTTGAAAAAAAGTTGACGTCATCTGAAAATTCTCAAATGATTCGAATATTTTCAAAGTAGCCCTCTACAAGTGATTACTAAAGTGAAAAGGAAGTGTTTTTCCAGGGACCATTCGGGATTCAATTTAAAAATTATTATATATTTGATGGGGCTTCGAAATAAAAAAATTGTTGAAGATTTCAAAAACTTATCGATTATCGAATTTTTTTCTGATTTATTGTAAGGCGTCATAACCTGACGAAAACATCTTGACTTTTTTTCCTTTTTTTGATATAAAGTCATCTCGAAACCGTAAAATGAACTATTGCGCTTATTTTTTTCAAATTATCAAATATTTCAAGTTTTAACAAATTTCGTAACTTTTTCCATTTCTTCCTGTGATCTTTTCAAAAACTTTCCGAGTTTTTCGAATTAAGTACGGCTTCTCTTGATTTTTTTCAGTTTCCTGAATTTTTTCTTCCGTTTTATAAGAACATCTCAATTTTCTTTCACTAGAACTTTTTTTCTAGTTTTTTTGAATCCCTTCATTTTTTTTTTGGCTTATACTAAATTTTTCTGACTTCTTTTTCAACTTTCGTAACCTTATTGTTCAATTTTCATAGTTTTTTTGAGTTTTGCGAAATTTTTTCCTATTTCTTAAACTTATTTTTAAATATTTCCCGACGTTTTTTTCTGATTTTTCCAACTTTATTGCTGTTTTCTGTTGACTTTCTTTATAGTTTTTCGTAAACTTTTCCTCACTTTCTGAACCATTGTTTTATTCTATATTTCGTGACTTTGATTTCTAATATTTTCTTGACTAACTTTTTTTGGACCATAAGGAGCATTCCTGTGTATTTTTCTTCTTAATTCTATAGAATCACCTCGAAACAGTGAAGTAAGTTATTGAGCGTTTTTTCAATTTTGGTGACCTTTTTTAAAATTCTACTGAGTTTTTCTAGTTTTTTGCAATTTTTCCATTCTCTGAACCTTTTTCTAGTTTTCCTGAAGTACTCTGATCTTTCTTGATTTTTCCTAATTTCTGTAAATTTTTCCACACTCTTTAAAATTTTTGAGCAACTTCTGAAAATCTTGCCAATTTTTCCCAAAACCTTTCAATTTTTGTTAGTGAAAAGATGTTCAAATCATTCTTGAAATTTCCCTTGCCAATTGTATAAAATCACCTCGAAACAGTGAAGTAAGTTATTGGGCATTTTTTCCAATTTTTGGTCAATTTTTCATTTTCTATTTTTTCTGAAATTTTTCGTGACTTTCTTTGATTTATTATCTCAATGCTAATTTTTCTGACGTTTACCACTTTTTCTAGACTTTTCTAATTTCTGTGAATTTTTCCAATTTTTCCGAATTTTCCTATCAATTTTTAATAGCGAAAAGACATTCGAGTTATTCCCGAAAGTTCCCTTGGCAAATCATATAAAAATCACCTCGAAACAGCGAAATAAGTTATTGGGCATTTTTTCCAATTTTTGGTCGCTTTTCTAAATTTATCTGACCTTTTCCAAGTTTTTTTCGATTTTTTATTTTCTTTTTTTCTGAAATTTTATTTTTCGTGACTTTTTCTGATTCATCACCGCAAAGGCCGCTTTCTCTGACGCTTACCATTTTTTCTAGCTTTTTTATAATTTCCCGAAATAGCCTGATTTTTGTTGATTTTTTCTAGTTTTCCGAACTTTTTCCTAGTTTTTCTTGACTCTTTCAAATTCCTGTAAATTTTCCATCTTTCTGACTTTTTTTCTAACTTTTCTAAAGTACCTTGATCTTTCTTGATATCTAGTTTTTTTGTGGCTTTTTTCCTATTTTTCGTTCACTCTTTCTAATTTCTGTTAACCTTTTCCAACTTTCTGATTTTTTTCTAATTTTTCCGACTTTTCCTATCAACTTTGTTAGTGGAAACGTATTCAAAGAACTCCTGAAATTCCCCTCGCCAAATAATATAAAATCACCTCGAAACAGCGAAATAAGTTATCGGGCGTCGATGCCGCCGATGCCAGGCGGGGTCGGGACGAGGGCGTTCTGGGCGGAGACGCCGATGCTCGCCTTGATCTGGTTCCAGAGGCGGTAGATGGGCGGCGAGCTGCTGCGGCGTTGTTGCGTCGTCGCTGCGTTCGTCGTGCCTCTTTTGATGGGCATCGGGGAGTAGCTGCCGGGCCCGTTGCCGTCTTCAGATGACGTCGACGACGACGAAGACTGGTAGGCCGACGAGGAACGTTCGACGACGCCGTTGCCCGGATGGCCGTTGACGATCGTCGTCCGGGAATCTGGAAAGAGAAAACGATCCATGAGGTTACTCTTACATGGGATGAGCATGACTGGCGATAGCCACCCCCACTTTCTTGTTTTTTTGCCAAGTCCCCCCGCCTTTTTGAAAAATTCTACCAAGACTATCTCATGTATGAGATTACTATCAATTCAATGAGCTCAAAAGCTAGGAAAAAGAAAGACCCTTTAGTGACCACTTAAAGAAGACCGACTATTCCGATCATTTTCCGCTAGGCCTGGAGGAAAAAACTTCTTTTTCACGTCTTTCTACTCATTTTTTTCACTTAAAACTCAGGAAAAAAAAAACCGATTTTCGATAAAAACTTGCTCGAATTTCCTAATCGTGCCATTTTGTTCACTTATCATTCAAATATCCTTCTTTAGAACGCCAGAATGGTCCCTAGAGGGGCAACCTTAAGGCCCCTGGAAGCTCTCCTTTAGGAATCACTTTGCCTTTCCTAAAAAGGTCACTAAATCACTATAGAGGTCCCTATATGTCCTTTCAACTTTAAAACCTGAAAAAAAAACTGAAAAACCTCTAGAGGGACCACTAGAGCCTGAAAGGTAAGACCTTATATAACTTTAACCCTTCAGTAAAAACTATTTGCCCTCTATATTTCCTGTCTTACCCCTCTAGGGACCACTCTCACATTACCAACTTCAAAAAATTCAAAAAACACTTGAATTTTCTAAGCTTTTAACCCATTCTTTCAACTAAAAAGCGGAAAAAAGCTACTTTCATTTTTCATTCACAATTCTAGAACCGATTTTCATCATATTAAGGCTGAAAAAAGCTGATTTTAGTCATTTTTATCTTAAATTTTCATTTTGAAAATCTAAAAGAAGATATTATTTCGTAATTTTCTTTATTAGAGCTTTTTTTAAAAAAACTGGAAAAAGCTTCTTTTTCATTTTTTTATCATTTTTTTGAAGCTGAAAAAAAGCAAGATTTTTTTCATTTCTACTTTCGATTTCTACTTTTAAAATTGGAATAATGCTGATTTTTTTATCATTTTTTTATCTTAAATTTTCGTTTTTTTAAACGACGAAAAAAACAGCTATTTTTTTAATCGTAATTTTTATTATTAAAGCTGTAAAAAGCTATTTTTTTCATCATTTTTTTCCTGAATTTTAATTTTTCAAACATGAAAAAAATCTATTTTTATTATTTTTTTGTGAGCTCATTTTTTTCATTTTAAAAAGCTGGAAAAAAATCGATTTTCTCTCATTTTTTTCTTAATTTTCAACCGGAAAAACCCCGCAAAACTGACCATTCAACGATCTTCTAATCGCGGTTTCGGTGGCCTCCTCGGCCATTTCGGCTTTTTCGCGTTTGGTCTCCTCGATTGTGTTTTGGAGAGCCACGGGGGTCAGCCATTCTTGTGGGATTACCTGGGCAAAAAATCAATAATTCATGAAAAAATTGACTCCAAAAAACCCTTTCCAAGAAGGGAATCGACCCGCTGACGTTGGCCAATCGATTGATCCAGCCGGGGATTTCTTTGCCCGTCAGGCACTGCAAAATTCTTTTTTTAGATCAGAAAAAAATGGATTAAAATTGATCTTAACCTGGATTCAAGCTTTTTTTAAAAATCAGAAATAGTGATAAAAATCGATAAATATGAAAAATATGCCTTATTCACCAGATTAAAAAAATATTGAGATCGATAAAATTGTAATTTATACGTTATTCTTGTGACTATGAACTGGAATAAAATTCAATTCAAGCTTTTTTTGGACCAGAAAAAAATCGATAAATTTGAGAATTAGCTGATTTTTTTCTCTTTTTCCAACTTTTTTTTGAACTGGGAAAAAAATAAAAAAACTTCTCAAATCTTAGATTATCGAATAGAAAGTTGATTTTCAACATGAACTAAAAATTTCTAAAAAAAGATGAATTTTTACTTTTCAAAAATTGAGTACTTTCCAGGAACCGAAAGGAAGGATTTTTTTGGGTTAAAAAGAAATTTTTTTAACTTTTTGATTTTTTTCGATTTTTTTTCTTTTTCATTTTTTTGATTGGAAAAAAAGGCATATTTTTGCATAGAAAAAAATGGATTTTTTTCGAGTTTAAAATTTTTCTAAAACCCTCGCGATTTTTCGTCTTACTTCTCAATGAGAACTTTATGATAGTCTTTTTTTTTGCAATTTTTCGACTTTTTCCCGTTTTCTCTCCGATTTTGTTGGGAAACCCACCCTCGTGAAAACCGAACTGAAGTGGTTGCAATTCCGAGAAATCAAGTGGTACCTGAAAAAATCAATAAATTATTGAAATTTCCTGAATTTTCGAGTACCGATCGCCTCGGAATTCGTCTCCAAGCTGTTTGATCAGATTCCTGACGTCGGACGCCGTCAAATCCGTCTCTCCGACTACGATCGACTCCCTGGAATTTTTTCACTTGAACAAAAATCTGCAGACACTTTTACTGCGTACTTTGAAGCTACAGTAATCGTCCGAATCGAAAAAAAATTTTTCAAAACTTTGATAAATGAAAAGGGTTTGAATCGGCTGAAAGTGTTAATTCTAGAGATTATGGTAACTTTTATACTAACAAAAATCCCTAAAGGGGCCACTTTTGCAAGCTCCGGTGGTCTCTAAAGTTGTCCCTAGAGGGGAGCCTTAGGAGGGTCCTATAGGGACCACTCTGGAATCCCTATTCTCACTAGTAGCTTCAATGAAAAATTGAGAAAGTGAAAAAAATTTGTTAAAAAAATCATGAGTTTGAAACGTTTTTTATCGAATTTCTAATAGGGAATTTCTTCGAATTCTTCAAAAAAATCAGATTTTATGTCAGATTTCTAATTTTTTTGAGATTTCAGACAAAATTAACAAAAGCAAAAACTTATGGGAATTATAAGTAAAAACCAATCTTAAATCAAAAATTCTTTTCGGAAAAAAACTTCCATTTTCATAAAAAAATCGTACAGAAAAAAATTTTTCTCGTTATTCCACAAAAAAATGAGTTTTTTTATCTCACATTCCTGTTTCTTAAGAGTAATAAAAAAATACTGATTAAACTGTTTTTAATACATAGCATATATCTCTGCATGACTGACCTGAATTTGAAGTTTTCGCCGAGTTCTTCGGCATCCTGGGGCGAATTTTTCGAAAACGCCCGAAAATGCGTACGGATGGCCACCGTAGGCGTATTCTGGAAAAATTATTATATTTTTTTAAAAAAAGGAAAAAAACTGACCAACACCAAAGATTTCGATTCCCGAATGGAAAAATGCCGAAACCAATGTTCGAGGCGTAGTCATTCAGCCAGTACTGGAAAAAAAGGAAGTCATTAACCGGAAAATGAGAAAAAATCAGATATTACTGTTTCATGTCAAATCGGGGTGTGGCGATTTTGAGCTTTTAAAAAATATTTCTGTTTCAAAAAACTTTTAAAAAAACTTTAGAAAAAAATATTACTTTTTGATGCTGTGTGGAAACCAAAATGAACATTCTGTGAAAAAAACCTTTTCCGAAATTTTCGGTGGAAATTTTTTTTCATTTATTTTTTTGATATAATTATCAAATCCGACTATTTTTTCACGTTTTTTTCCGCTTCCCATTCACAAAAAAATTCGCAAAAATCGGTGACAGAGTTCGAAACGGCACACAGCTGCTCAAACATACAAAAAAACACAAAGTTGGCCTCGGAATTTCATTCAAAAAGTTCTTTTTATCCGTCAAGTTGATCATTTTAAATGAAATATTCGATTTTTTTCGATTGAAAAAAAGGGAAAAAAAGGTTTTTTTCAAAAAAAGTTTTAATTTTTAAAATTTTAAAACATTGCAAAAAGGTATAAAAAAATCCTGAAAGTCAGTATCATACCCTACAACTTTCTCAGAAAAAAATCGAGCTTTTGCATTTTTTTAAAAAAATATGCCGCACAGTCGAAAACCAGCCAAAGTTTTAAAAAGCTGTTTCAACTGTTTTTGAGGGAAAATTATTTTTTCGTGCTGAAAATATTTTTTCGTTGCTGAGAAAGAAGCTCAAATCAAATTAAACTTTGGCAAAAAAAATAACCAATAAACTTTATCAATTGAACCATCTAAAGAGCGTTTTTTCACAGCCAAATCAACAAAAAACCTAGAAAATCAGTAAAATCCCTTTTTTCTAATCAAAAATATATACCTCCTTTAATATTATTCTAATTCTTCGATTTTTTTTCCCTGCAAAACGAACCATATCATAGACATTCAGACGGACGGGAGCCCTCGTCACACACACGCGGCCCTCCATTGTCGCGCACAAAACAACGTTTTGGTCAGTTATCGCCGTTTCCCTCCCTTCGGGCTGATTTTCCGTCTGAAAGCAAAAAATGTTGAAAAGATATCACAAACAAGCAAAGCGAACCATACGAAGCGCGAGTTGTGCCAAGAAATAAAAGTGATTCACGTAATTGCATGAGAAAATGAATCAGAAATTTCATAACAAAAGAAGATTTGGAAATCGAAAACGATCAAAGTATTTTCATGTTCCGTAATCTAGAAAAAGACCGGCATCCGAGTTATTTCACAAGTTATATGAAAACACTTCAAAGTTTCAAAGCAAAAACTATTATTACCAAATTTAGAAGAAAATAGGACAATTTTCGAAAACACCAAAAACAAGAGTCAAAATTTTCAAGGCGAGGAAAATAAGGCGCCCGGAAAGCTCAGAATCCTCTCCCGCCACCCACCTCTCACACCACTTTTCACATGGCATGACTAATTAGAAAAAGAAACGAACAAAAAAGGAAAAAGGCGGGGAAACGTGACGTGGCGTGATATTCGCTGCTTATTGTGTGAAGATTGAAGCGGCGTGTGTGCGGTCAAATTACAGTAACCCGGTAAATAAAAAATGTTTCGGCAGAACTTTTTCTAAGCATTTTTCGAATTCACTACTGATTTTTGGAGGAAACGAGTAGGTTTATGTGAAGATTTCTTGTTACTCTTCTTTTGAATATTTTAAGAGAGAACTTTGATGATTTTAAGGACATGGATATTTTCGTAAAGGAGTCATCGAGAAGGAAAAAAGATGCCGTTTCACAACGCGTAGCAGTGAATCACTTGCATGAAAAAACAAACAAGATGAAAAAAGGCGGATTTTTTCTCGTAAAAAGCATCACACGTAGTGGGAAAGTTCCGAGAAAAAGTGGACGAGAAGGCAAGGAAGGAGGCGTTGGAAGAGGGGGAAAAAAAACTTGAAAACGATTGGCAAACGGTGAGCGGCGGAAAAACCGACGGAAAGTGGTCTGTTTGCAAAAGCTTCACGTCGGAATGGGGAAACGCGCGGACGACGGACGGCAGAATCAGAAATTGAGCCGTTTATTGGAGTCTCGTCACGATAAACTGTTCCGATGGATGTTTATATTTTCGCTATGACAGGAAATAGCAGACGGTTTGATTTTTTGTGAAGATCAAAGGTCGATTTCGAAGATTTAACTCTATTTAAACATGTTTTTTTCTCAGAATACAAGTTGAAAAGATTAAATGTTGTTTTTTATACCCCATCCTACACCAAAATGTCTATTTTTCCCTGCTAAAAAGGCGGTATACCAAATTTGATCAAATTTGACCCCATTTCGCTTAAAGACCTTTGTATTTTCCTGTCTTTTTGAAGTTTTGTGAAGGAAAAAATGCAAAAAAAGGTATTTTCACCGTAGCTTTTTTCTTCTGTTCTTTTAAAACTTCTCGCGCTGATAAAAATTTATAAATAAGTTCAAAATCCTCAATTATAATAACAAGAATCAGCTCTTTCCCTCGAAACCTTTATAAAGTTAGCCTATGCGCCTTTAAAAAAATCCTAAGTGATAGTTTCTAACCGACTATCCTGTTTCAAGCAGTTTTTTTATGGGTTTCAGTTTCAAAAAAATTAATATACATCTCGGATAACAATTTGAATTTTTTTCTTAATTTTATTAAAGATAACTTTTTCTCGAAATCTTGTTTTATTTTCGCGAATTCCTTACAATACGTTTTTTTATTAGGATAAAGTTTGAAAAAAAGCAGTGAAAAAAATTTAAAAATGGGATAAAAAACGATCGGAGCACACATTTCTGAAAAAAATAGATTGAAATCGTCGTAATATCAATAAAAAAAGACCTAAAATTTGAAATTCTTATCAAATTGGCCTCGGAAAATATCAATAAAACGGCTGATTGGTGTGAAAAACAACTGATAAGAACATTCAGTACGAAAATTGATGGGAAATTTAAAATTAGAATAGTTTTGAATCAATTTTTTGGAAGAAAGGTTAAATTTTGAGGGATTTTTTCGAAACTTTTCCAGGGCAGAATTAAATTCAAGGCTTTTTTGAGCTTTTATTCAGTTTTCTGGTACAAAATTGAAAGTAAAGAGACTTTTTCCGGGACAAAATGGAAAATCAAGAGACTTGGAGCCATTTTAAAATGAACTCTGAGGTTTTCGAGTCCCCAGGGACGCCTAAATAGATGCAATTTGAAAAACCAGCAGTTCAATTCGAACCAAATATATCACGAGAAGGAGGAAAAATTCCAAAAATTACACCAATCCCGACGTTTTCTTTCTTCTCTTTTTCTCGCCGAATAGCGGTTCAAAAACCGAACGTTTATAATAACCCATGGAATGTTCCAAAAAATAGGAACGAGGAAAAAGGAAAAAAAAACTGGGAACGGAGCCCCCAGAGGTCGGGGCAAAATGTGTCGATTGGTCACGCTTGTGTTGGTTGCACAAACTCGCCCCTTTCCACTTATAACTCGGGGCGAAAAAAGAGAAAAAAAAACATCCGATTCGGGTTGGTTTTAGTGGGGAACGCCTGGGGAACAGGTTGAATCGAATCGGGCAAAAAATGGCATGAAAAATGGCTTGATGCGTTGAGTCCTACAAGACCGCGCAAGTCGTTTCAGGTCGGGTGCATCCGTATAAAAATCGAGTGACGCGCTGCGGTTTGACTTGAACATTCCAAAGGTCGCGGTTCGAGTTGAAATGTCGTTAAAATTTACAAGAGCGCGCAAGTCGTTTCAGGTCGGGCGCACATTTATTTTTGAAGAAATCGGGCAAAAAAGTTGATTAAAACTTTATTAAAACAGGGAAAATTATGAAAAATGGCTTGATGCGTCGCGGACGCGTTACGGTTCGACAAAAAAGTTTAAAGATGATGGATAGTTGAAGTTTAGAAGAGCGCGCAAGTCCTTTCAGGTCGGGCGCACCTTTCTAGCCGTCCTTTGTTAGAAATTCGACGGCTTTTTCAGAATCCACAATGTTATAAGAAAAAACAATATTATGAAAAAAATAAAATTGAAAAAAAGAAAGAATTATTCATTCAAATTACTAGATTCATCGGCAAATTGACTTTCGGTTCCGAAATTGATCTCCCTTTGAAACGGGAATATGAAACAATAAACTTTTTTCAGAGAAAGTTTTTTTTCTCCCTCATTTTTTTTTTCATTTTTAGGAACTTTTTTTTTGATTTTAAGATTGTTTAAACTCGCATAAAATCTGAGACTTGAAAAAAAATTAGCTCAAAACTACACTGAATGAATGGGAAGCGTTATTACACCCCGCTCAGACATTCCAATAAAACAGAACCTTTTCAACCATAAAAAAAGGGGCGAACAGCTGGCCGGTAAAACGGGGATCAATACTAACTTTTACACTAATTGACGGCTGGAAAAGTGGTTGGAAACAAGATAAAATCATGGAGGAAGTTTTGGGACAAATGGTCGATTTGGCCGGCGGAAAAAAAAAGAGGCGAAGGGCACGTGACGTAATAGTGCGACTGTACGCGTGACGCGGCCAGGAAAAAGGCGGGAATTTCGGAAAATTCAAAGACTTTGGGATGGCCAAGTGGTCCCTGGAGGGTTTTGGGAAGAAAATAACCCTAAAGGTCCTACTTGAATCGAAAAGGGTCACTGAGAATATTAAGAGTGCTTTTAGAAACGCTAGAGTGGTCCCTAGAGGGTTTTGGGAATAAAAAAACACGTATAGGGGATAAAACAGCACTTTTCAGAAGCTTAAGTGGTCCCTAAAGGGGTTTAAAGTTTGACCCCTTAGCTTCTAAAGCTCAAGTGGTCCCTTTGCATTTTTTTTTCCAGATATAAAAGGTAAAAAGACGCATAGGAACCACTAGCATACTCCCCTAGAGTGACCACTTTTGCAGCCTTTAGTGCCCCTATAAACATAGATGAAGTGGTCACTTTAGGGGAACCTACAAGAGCCCCAGAAGCTTCATTTCCTGAGCTTTAACCTCATCTTAATCGCCCCTCTTTCAAATTGAGGGATAAATCAAAGTTTTGAAACATAAAACTGACGGATCAATTTGAAAAGGTCTCAACGCGAAAAGTTTTCCTGATTTTATATGAATCCTGCGAGAAAAAACGCTCAGAATGGATTTATACCTAGATTACGGGAAATTTTGCACGCTTCAAGGAGCAAAATGAGCCCGATATTTGAAGTTATGCTAGACTCCTGCGCCTTTAAGAGCTTCTTAAGGGACTTTTTAATAAACTATACCTACTTTACCTTGAATTTTACAGCTTAAAGGATAAGGATGAGCCATTTTCAGGTCGTACAAAGCCAAGTTGCGGAAAATGGGTGCAAAATGGCCGATAAAAGGGTTCCGTTTTGCGGCCTTTTTTGAGCCTTTCTTTCCTTGTGGGCTAAAAAGCCTCAAAAAAGAGGCAAAATGGGTGCAAAATAGGTGCAAAAAGGGTACAAAAAAGGTGCAAAAAGAGTTCTGAAAGGCTCGGACATTAATGGTTTCCGATTTTATTACTGTAGCACATTTTGGTTCATACACACCCACTGTAAAGATTATTCTTAATTTGAAAAAATCTTGTGTTTCTCAAAAGGGTCCAAAAAGGGTGGATAAAGGGCGATGAAAGGACGGAAAAAGGCAGTAAAAAGGAAACCTTTTTGCACCCACAACGGACCCTCAAAGGGCCCTAAAGGGTCCTTCCGATTTTGCCTATGTCTGCGCTTTCAAGGACTTCAGGATGGATTTCTACCAACTGGGAAAATTTTTAGTGGCCGCTATAGTAGTCAAACTAGTGGCCACTTAAGGGTTTAAAATTAGAAGCCACTATAGAGATCTAAGTGCTACTACTAGACCACTAAACATTTTAGTGGCCACTTTAGGGGTCAATGGATCAAAATAACTGGTCCAATCTGTTTGTTTTAAAATTATCAGAGTTACTGGAAGGATTACTGGATGAAAAACTACTGAAGTGGCCACTAAAACGGAAAATAGTGGCCACTTCAGTGTTCCCTCCAAGGTGAGCCTTTATAGTGGCCACTAATGATTTTCACAGTACTTTACGTAGAATTTTATAGCTCAAAAAAGCAAAATTGAGCCATTAACACTCCTATTTCAGGTCCTACAAGACTTCCTGACCTTTA